AAAACTGGAAATACACAGTTCCAGAACATTGCTATGTGTTCTGGAAAGCAGAACACATAGCAATGAGATCATTCCAGTTTGAATATCCCAGGTACACTGAAAAATTTCAACAACTATTTTAGCTACCATGGAGTGTGGTGTGTACTTTTAAGGGAGTTTCTGAGTTAAGCTCCCTGAAGTGCAAGAATGATGGCGCTCTTGAATACAAGTATCAAATCCAGGTATAACATGAGCACATGCTATAACCGATCTGGGAAAACCATAAAGAAGCCTAGGCCAGCCCTCAGAAGAGCTAACTAACATGAACAGAGTTAAGAAAAACAATCTTGAAAACAAGTAATACCATACTGTGAAGACAAAGGTCAGCATTATAACCAGCAGCTATTAGATTACTATGCCACTTATTACAATTTTATTTTAACATGTTCTGGTGAGATCTGTCATGACTTCAATCCTTTGAGCCCCACAGTGGGCACCACAAGATCTGTTGTGGTTTCACTCAGCAAGAAGCTGAACACCAGGCAGCCCTTTAGTCACTCCCTCACCTCCCAGAGAGATGGGAGAGAGAATGAGAAAAATCTTGTCCATCTCATAAGTTGAGGTAAAAACTATTTACTAAGATAGAAAGGGAAGAGGGAAATAACAGTAATTATAGATATAAATATAGATATAAATGCACATATACATATACATAAGCATATACACACTAAATAAGCGATGCATAAAATAATTGCTCAGCTCTTGCCAGTGAATGACCATCCAGCCCCCAAACAGCAATTACCTCCCTCAGCCCTTCCTCCCCAGTTTTATGTTTGGTTCGTTGGTTGGTTGGCTGGTTGTTTTTTGTTTTTGTTTTTGTTTTTCAGCTGAAACTCTGACAGAAATTTGCTGCCAGCACTTCAGTAGAAGGCCTCAAGGAGAAAGAAGGCATTGCAGACTGAGTCCATGCCCTGAAACAAGAAGCAGGGATGTAGCAAGAAACAACATCTGCTTTCTGTTTGAATAAGCATTCCAGTAGTTACTTGTTAAAAAACTGCCATTTGTAAAAATAATTGGCATTATTAAAGTTTTACTTTTTGTAAGAGTAGAAGTATTTGCTAAATTTCAAATAATTCCTAGTGAACTCCTTATTTAGTACTGTACAGTAAAATATCCAATAGAGAAGATAATTGCTTGATTGTCGAATAGAATAACAACAGTTTTCCCTGCAGTGAAATCACCACCACTGTAATTAGGTTATGTCATACTTTACTCTTTCGGGAGTATTAAAAACACCAGGCCAGCCAGTTCTAACCACTGTGTTTTTCTATTTATAGTTTAGAGCTAAATTGCCATCTTCATGATGCAGCAAAGGCATCAATAACTAAATAACAGCCCTTCTGCTGCTCAGTTGAGCTTTCTACATATTAATGTAAATATGGATCTCATAAGAATTTTGTTGACTAATCATTTGTGGTGAAATAATAAAAATTATATAAATTCTTACTTTTGAAATAACAGCAAAAAAAAATAATCATCATCGTATCCGCATAGGATATACAAGTACTAACATATTTCCTGGTTTTTTGTTTGTTTGTTCAGTATTCATCACCAGAAAGAAAACGTTAAATGAAACACGTTAATAACTGCTTAATGTCTTATGAAGAATCACCTACCCCTGATGAGTCCATTTTACAAAATGAGGTACAAAATTATTTATTTAGATCTTGCCACATATTTGCTTTTGTTCACTTTTAAATATAAAAACCTGTTACTCACTGTGTGAATTCTGTTTGGTTTTACACGTGTATTTCATAAACAAGGGAAAATGGATGCTTTTATGCCTAGTGTAAAGTTGAGCTGCCTTTTTTTCCTCAAAAAAAAACTAGATTGTAACGCTAAGTGAATCACTTAGTGCAGAAAAAGTGTTGGAATGAAATGGTTTTGCAAAGTCTTCAGTGTGTTTGGTGAATCTTAAAATGCTCAACATGTACAAAATGGGAAATAACACGTTCCCCCTGAAGTAAAGGTAATAGGAAGGTATCTAGTTTAAGACACTTTTTTTTTTTTCTTTTGAAAATAAGATTACAAGTTCTCTGTAAAATAAATTATAAAATAACATAGGTACAAGATTAAGTCAGGCTTGGTCATTTGGGAGAGCTGAAGTCATATTAGTGGTGATTATAAATGTTTTATAAAATCTTCTGTGTAAATTACTCAAAGCAACTTGCTTTCCTACATGCTTACATTTAATATACTACTAGAGGTTTCCTCCCTGTCCTCATTTTTCTGAAATGGAGATTAAATTTATGGAATAACAGTACAAAAATGGGTTGGAATTTCTCATTAATGAATTGACACCAAGCAAGCTGTGTGTGCTAAAATTGAGTTTCACAGGATTATTATTACCTATTTTTCTCATACTCCTACTTTGCTTCTCAGCTCTTTTCTAACTGAAAAAACTCTCCTTGTGTGACTGCCAAGTCCATCAAGTGAGATTGTTGCACTATATCCCAAAAGAATGATGAGTTTACATCATGTATGTGACACCTTTGTACATATATACACATATCCCACAACTAACAGTTATATCTGTTTACTGTCATGAAAGAGTAGCAAAGGGAATTGCTTATTTTTAATTATTTACCAAAGCAGGAAACGATTATCAAATCTTTCTATTGTCAAACACACAAGTTTTTAATAGTGTCTAACAGAACACAGTACTTATTAAATTACACAGTAATAATATTTGTAGTACAATACAAAGAACTAGACTGTTCTGCTGGATAGTTCAGTAATGGCTGTAGAAAGTGGAGAGAAAATTTTTACCCATATATGAGATAATATGATAGATAATATATTTTTGGTAATGAACTCCAAGGAATTTTTCCTCGTTATGGGCAAGCAAAAAGTCAGTTTTATACACTGTTCAAAATACAGCCTCTTTGCTATCAGAATGCTCTGTATAGTTTCAGCTCAATTCTGAGGCTTAGAGGAATGTCAACAACAATGCTCTCAGACATTTTGCCAGAAGCTTTATATTTAAAGTCCTAGCGTACAGCGAGTCTGCTTAGTGGATGAAATTCAATGGGTTTCTGAAGTGAGGTGACACAACTACAAGAAAATACTTATTATGGGTCATGCAGGTTTTGACACTTCAGACAATATTGCTTTGCAGATATATGAAGGGAATCATTTTTGCAAATCTAGAGTGTGAAAACACCAAAGGGAGGCACTGTTTTTGATACTCTTGTTTTCAACTGACAAATTAAACTACGATGGTATGAAATAAGATTGACTGTGTTAACAAGAAGGCTACAGACTCACATCCTCCCTGAATGTCTTGATGACACGGAACAGTAATTCTAAGACAGATGGTTCCCTTAGGCAGAAGGCCCAGACACAAGCACCATGAGTATCTTGAAGTAACAGTGTGACTGCTGAAGCCCTCCTGACACTTTACTAAATGCTGCTGCTTTTCAAAACTATTAGTGTATGTATATACATACATATATATATTCAATATACTGTATATCTGTTTGTTTGTAGTCCTCAGGAACAAGAAACAGAGATTGCTCTGCATGTTTAATGCTACTGAGTACATGTCCAATAAATGTCTAGAAACTCATCAGCTGGTGGACATGGAAATATGATCTCTTTATCAGTTCAAATGCTTATTGATGACTTCTATGATGAAAAAAGCTAAATTTTTCTGAAATTTGCTTCCAAGTGTCATGGTCCCAAGTTGTGGAATTTGGTCGTTCAGGTTGACAGCTGGAGTTGGTGATCTTGACAGTCTTTTCCAACTAAATAACTATAATAGTCTATGTATCTTTAAATGAATAAAAAAATGTATATCTGAAAATATTCTTGTTAAACAGTGATTTTTTTCCTTCTTTCTTAAAAGAGCATCCCTGCATTTCAGTAATTTTGACAATTTGATGGGTTGATCTCTAAATTACAGTCACATGTTTCCCTCACTAATATGCTTCAGCAAGCATCCAAAGATGTCTGCTCTGGAACTATGAGATAGATCCAATTGCATGTCCTGGCAGGCCCCTGTTTCACTGCTGACACACTTGTAAGGATGCCAGTTAAGAGTAACTTTGAAGGCAGCTTTTGTCTTCAGAAACCTAAGTTAACTTCCTGTCAGCAGAAGTGACAGTATCAGCATTTTTTCCCCTCAGAAGTCATTGAACAACACATTTATTAAAACATTTTTAGACATGATCTGTCAAAGCAAGAGAAGAGCTTTGATGGAAATCTCTGTATTGTGTTAGTCGACTTAACAAACACTTCTCACCCATAAGTAGATCTCAGTAATTGAATGTAATCAACTCCTACAAGTTACTGCTATAATAAAAATAATTCTTCAATTTTGTCATCCCGTGAGTAATCCTATGCTAGCACAAGTTAGATGTCAGTTCTCATGGTTTAAATGTATGTTGTCTTTGATATTTTCTTTTCTTGATGAGAAAAAAATCTGCATTTATATTTTAGAGAAGAATCTAGCCAGAGGATATAAAACACTCCTTTCTCCATAGCTTATTCTTCCCCACATCAGTGCACTGACAAGTACAGTTATCAGCTAAATTGCTGAAATTATCTGGAAAGATTCCATAGCACTATAGATATTTGGAAATATATTCGTCACTGCTTTGTACTGAATAAAACAAGGTTGTACCAAATAAAGTAACACTATAAGTGAACAATACTAGTTTTCTCATACTTGCAGGCCATGCCATTTTGTGGTTTGTGTCTTCTTTATTCTTTACATTTGCAATGTCATCTTTCTATTGACTGAATTTTGTGATGGGAATATTTTATTTTCCCCAGATTTGAAATAACTCTGTCTTTTGCATTTCCATACTCATCATGTAATAAACTTCCTTTTGTTTTGTTTATTCTCTGTAGTTCTTGATGTGAAAAATGAATGTGGATTGTTGCAGCAGCATATGGTTCGAGATCCAAACTTGTCATGAAAGGGTGATAATTTTTTCTGCAATAAATTTTTTCATATATTCTTTGATCACTTGCAGATGCTATCAAGTTTCTATTTGAAATATTTTCTGGATTAATATCTGAAGTTACAAAGTAGAAGAAAAAATTTCGTATGTAAAAATAAAACAAAAAAATAATGCGTAAACTTGCTGAGTAGTGCAGTTGATTCAACAGAAGGAAAGGAAGACATTCAGAGGGAGCTGAACAGGCTCACGGTTTGGAATCTAGTGAGGTTTAATGAGGCCAAACGTAAGGTGTTTCACATCAGTTGGGAAAATCCCAGATGTTTGTACAGACTGAGAAAAGAACTCATTGGGAGTAGCCCTGACAAGAAGTATGTACAGGTTCTGGTAGGTGGAAAACAAGCCAGCAGTGTCCATTTGCAGCCCAGAAAGCCAACTGTATTCTGGGCTGCATCAAAAGAGAAGTGTTCAGAAGGGCAAGGGAAGTGATTTTCTCTCTGCACTACTTCCCATCTGCAGTACTGTGGCCAGGTCTTGGGCTTCCAACAGAAGAAAGATGTGGAGCTTTTGGAGCATGTCCAGAGGAGAGAAATGGAGATGATTATATGACTGGAGCACATCTGTCCTAGGAAGACAGGCCAAGGACTCTTGAAGAAGAGAAGGTTGAAGGGAGTCCTCATTGTGGCCTTCCAAGTACCTGTAGGAAAGCTTACAAACAGAAAGGAAAACATTTTATCTGGATAGATAGTGATAGAACTAGGGAAAATGTTTTTCTACTAACAGAGGGGAGATTCAATTTAGTTGTCAGGGGGAAATTTTTCACCGAGAGTGTGGTAAGGGTCTGGAACAGGTTGCCCAGAGAACTTGTAGGTGACCCATAGTTGGAGATGTTCAAGCACAGGCTGGATGAGACCCTGGGCAATCTGATCTAGTGTGTGATTTAGTGGGTGGCAAGCCTGCATGCAGCAGGGGGCTTAGAATTAAACAATCTTTGAGGTCCTTTCCAACCCAGGCCATTCTAACATTCTATTAATTATGCTAAAAAGAAATGCTAAGCAGAGTTTGATTTAGATGCTAAATTAAACATTCAATATTTAATGTTAATAAAAGCGTACTAGACAAAAAAAAAAAAAATAATCAAGAGACAAAGGAGAGAAAGCAAAAAATTTTGCAGCATTCAAAGAAGATGAGGAATAAATAAATGTCAAAATACAGTAAGGTACTTTCAGCTTAATGATAGCAGAAACACTTCAGAAATGTGACTTAATTTCCTATTTTTGCTTCTCTTTCCTGAAAGGGACCATTCTGCTGTTAGCTGACATCTTCCCATGGGTGCTCTGAAGAAGCTGCAATGTCATTTCTAAGAAAGCAATCTTCTCTGATTCGTGTTTTCACTCTGCAGGGATCTGGTGTACTTTCAGGAATCATGGAATAGAATCATGGAATGATTGGGTTAGAAAGGATCTTAAAGATCATCTGATTTCAACCCTCCTGTTAGAGCTCCATGCAGCATAACCTTGAGCATTTTCAGGGATGGGGCACTGTCAACAGCTTATGGGCTGGTCAGGCCTGGTTACATGACAAATGGGGCAGGGTGAGCCATGGACTCGCACCCTGGAAAAAGGGAAAGAGGAAAAGGGGAAATGAGCCTAAAAACAAAACAAAAAGATAAAAACAAAAGATATCAGCATGCAAGGTAACACAATAGAATGAAATATAACACAGTATAATTGGAATTGAAGACAATAAATAAAATGAGAGTGTCCAAAAACCAAAGGCCTTTCTCTAACTAAGCTGTGGCAATACAGCACCTGCAACAGACAAGTTGGAAGGTTGAAAAAGGGATGTCTCACTATCTGCAAGCATTTTTTTTTTTTTTTTTTTATCTTTTTCCCTGAGCAGAAAACAGTAACGGGATAGTGGACAGTTCTCTGGGAGATGTAGTTCTCTTCTGGGAAGGGTGTCTGAAACTATCCATGATCCACAGAACTGGAACATTGATTCTTTCAGTCACAGTGCACTACATGATCTTATAATGTGGAATACTGATAACAAAAAAAATCATAAAACCATGACAGGCATCCACAGCCTCTCTGGGCAACCTGTTTAGGTGACACACCATCCGTAAGGTAAAGAATTTATCTCTACCTAACCTAAATGTCTCTTATTTTAGATTAAAATCATTATCTCTTGCCCAGTCGCTACACTCACAGTTGAAGATTCTCTAGCTTTTCTGTAGGCCCTTATTAGGTACTGGAAAGCCATTTGTACAATCAATAGGTGTATAATCAATAAGTGTACAGAGATAAGACTAAGTAGGATTATCATGATGGAAAGAAAATAAATGAAAAATACTCACCAATGTTGTAAGCTCACAGTAAACTCCATGAGGAGCAACCTCCCAAAAGCAATCCTTCCTCAGTGGCAGTCATCACTTAAATGGGATCTTCTAGGCTCCACCCCTTCTGGTAGCACAGATGAATTGCCTTCACTTGTGCTCCTGCAGATGACTCATTGCTTGCCTCAAGTGGTCAGTCAGAGGTTCAGGCCGTGTTCAATAGTTATCATACATCACTACAGTGTCTCCCTGGGACCTTCTCCAAACTGAACAACATCAATTCTCTCCCCCACAGGGGATCAGGTTTTTGTTCTTCTTATGCTGTGTCCTTCTCTGCAGCATCGCTCTCAATTTACTTACTACCCAATCTTTATTAATGCTTGGAATTTTCCCAACTCATATCCTTTGTACTTGGCCTTGTTAAACTTCTTAAGATTTGCACATCTTTCAAGTCTTTCCAGGTTCCCTCTAGATGTCATCCCTTCCCTCCACTGTCTACAATACTACTCAGCTTTTCATCTTCTGCAGTCTTCCTAAGGGTGCACTCAATCACACTGTCCATGTCACCAACAAGGATGTTAAATAACATCAGTTCCAAAACAGATCTGGATGGATACCACTCATCACTGATCTTCACTTGAACATCAAGCCATCGACACTGCTCACATAACAAATTGCTCATCTAGCAAGTAGTCCATCTGTCAAAGACATGTCTCTTCATTTTAGAAACAAGGATGTTGTGCACAATGAGTTGCACAAGTCCAAGTCAAAAACATCATTTGCTCTTCTATTATTCACTAATGCTGTAACCCCATCATAAAAGAACACCAAATTTATCAGTTATGGTTTACCTTTAGTGAAGGCTGTTGGCTGTCATCATCACCTCCCTGTTTCCTATGTTCATTTGCATTTCTTCCAGGAGGATCTGCTCAATGATCTTGCTAGGCTGATTAATGATCTTGCTAGGTGAATTTTGCTAGAAATGAAATTGATCAGTCTGTAGTTACCCACATCTTTCCTTCTTCTGTTGCTTAGAAATGGGGATTATATTTCCCTACTTCTGCTTAGTGCGAACCTGACATTGGACTGCCCCAACTTTCAAGCATGATGGATTGTGACTTAGCAACTACAGTTGCTATTTCTCTCAAGAAATTCTCCTTAGATATATCTCATCAGATCACATTGACTTGTATACTTAGGTTGGCCTTAGATGGCCAATGACCATCATAGATGTTCAGTCTTTCCTTCCTTATATAAAATTGCATTTGTACTGTGAACAGTGAGATATAAATTGTGGTTTTCCAGCTTCAGTGGATATTGGGATAAGAAGTTTTTCATCTTCTGTAGCCTACATATGCTTACCAATAGTGCAGCTAAACTGAAAATGAAGGAAATAATATACAAGAAGAATGATATTTACATTCTTGAGAGAAATGGCAATGTAGCATGCTATTTTACTCTAGCTGCTGTCTCCTTCCTGCTGTGCTATGTTTGAAAAATCTCATCACTGTTCATCTGTAATGTCTGTTCCTTGCTTCCCTTTTACACATTGAAGATGCATGCAGAAAGATCTGTACTCTCAAACAAAGTTTTGCTTAAGGGGTTTCAGTAGGCAGAGGAGCACATTTTCATGCACTACATTACCGTATCTGCAATTTGGAAATCCCCTCGGGAAAGGAATTTTATAAAGGTATATTTCCTGGGGAAATAAAAAAAAAAAGTATTTTATCTCAGCAAAACCTGTCTGTGTAATACATGTACTATAACAGCGATGTACTTTATTGATGACTGTGTGCTGAAGAAAAATTGTGTCTTAAATTACCATTCCAGAGGAAATGCACTGCCACTGTAATACTCATTCATGATGTAAAATATTGTTACTACATACATGTAACAATAGTAACAACTTTACTTTTGTTTGTTTAGTTTAGAAAGGCTAAACACGTCATGTAAGTATTCAGAAAGCACTCTGGAAGGGATATTAGAGTAATTTAAGATTACAAGAAATATGAGAGGTATCAATCCAGTAAATGAGAACTTAAAGGGATACATACTCTAAGACTTTTTGAGGGAAATAGGGGTAGCCTTCTACTACCTACACAGATACAAAGTATTTTCTAAAAATAGTGGACACTTTCATTCTTAAGAAAGTAGTCTGAGTGAGCTATAAACTGCTCCCACATAAAATCTGGATTTCTTTTAGGTCTTTTATTGTGAAGGAAACAGGATATTTTCTCATAACATTTTGATCCTTGTCTACTCATTATTCTCTTAGGTCACCAGACTATTTGTCATTACTCACGTTAAAGTACAGGGACTCTATACTACTGTTGCTATTCCTTTCAGTTCCAGACAGCTAGTGTTTCCCACCTACATACTTTTTCCTTGAATTTTCTACCTTCTCTTTCAGACTTAGATTTCCCTTTCAATGTCCATGTCTGAGCCTGTGTGTACTTTCCCAATGCTTTAAAGAATAATAAATACTTAAACCTATGTAGCAGTAAGTCTTTACATTTGCTAATTTTCGGCTTGCCTTTTCCTAACAGGTCTGAAAATTCTCACTCGAGCTGCTGTGACTGTTCTGCAAAATCCTTCCACAATTATTGTCCTGTGCAGTTCTTGTGAATTCTTTTAATGCCTTCTCTTATTCACAGAATCACAGAATCACCCGGGTTGGAAGGGACCTCAAGGATCATGTAGTTCCAACCCCCCTGCCTAGCAGGGCCACCAAACATACACATTCAGATCAGGTTGCCCAGGACCCCGTCCAACCTGGCCTTGAACACGTCCAAGGATGGGGCATCCACAACCTCCCTGGGCAGCCCGTTCCAGGGCCTAACCACTCTCCTTGTAAAGAACTTCCCCCTAACATCCAACCTAAATCTTCCCTCCTTCAACTTGGATCCATTATTAAGGGGGTTCTTATGAAAAGTAAGTGTCAGGAATATGGGAATCTATTCTTTCTTCCTTACTTTTTCCTACCTCTTATTTTATGTAGTTTTGTTTGTATCAGAGGAATTCAAAAACTTAATGAATAGAAAGATAGTAGTCATTTAAGTATTCAGGAAGTAGTATATAATAATAAATATGCAGAAAATCATAGCAAAAAAACCATAATGTTCATGACTGATTAAGCATTCTCTAGTCCACGCTAGTATTATAAACAGAAACAACTTAATCAAATGTGTCCAATAAAAGTCTCGTAGCTCTAGGAAAGCATGTGGTCTATCATTTAGATTCCATGTTCTACGATTCTAGGGTTCTGTGATAGCACTTGCCATTCCTCAGTGTTCTGTGACAGTTTGAAGGATGATGCAGAAGAGTTGAGAGCAAAGGAGTTGATTCTGGGGATAATTTCCTCTCCTCTCCTCTCCTCTCCTCTCCTCTCCTCTCCTCTCCTCTCCTCTCCTCTCCTCTCCTCTCCTCTCCTCTCCTCTCCTCTCCTCTCCTCTCCTCTCCTCTCCTCTCCTCTCCTCTCCTCTCCTCTCCTCTCCTCTCCTCTCCTCTCCTTTTTTTTTTAATATAATTCACATAATTAACTGCAACAGCATCTGAAGATTTTGAAACAGGGCTGAGGAATGAATTCTGGATCATAATATGCATATACTTCTCTAAATTCTAATAGCTCATGAATGTTATATGCAGTATTTTTTTGCTCCAAAACAATCATTTATTTTTATTTTTATTTTTTTTAGAAAGAGGGGACTATAAACCAAGTAGATTAAGTACTGTATACCAAAATCTCATCACTTTTGTTCACACCATTAGCATTTAAAACTCCAAAAATAGTTGGGTTGAACAGTTTTTAACACTGCTAGTCATTAAACAAATTCTTCTGGGTTAGAAAGGGTAGGAGATAAAACTGCCTTCTAGAAAGATATGTTTCATCTTCTTCGGCAGGTGACAGTAAGTACTCTTGAAAATAAGATGCTAAAGATCTTGGATAGATTCCAGAAAAACAAATTTATATTGTAACTTCATATCGATGATAACAGGCCCAAGATTACTTAAAAGTTCTATGTAGTTAGTTTTGTTTTAAAGTAATAGCTAGACTTTTACGTTATTTTATACAGCATATTTTTTTAGCCTAAACTAGAAGAAAATCAGTATCTATACATGTAAGAGGTAAGTTTTCTAAATCTGGAAAATGAGAGGTATCTTTTTTTTTTTTTTTTTTTTTTTTTTCAGCACTCCGAACACATAGTACAGACTATCGTCATCAGAAAACGTAATCTCATCAATTATCTCAGTATTATATAAGAATTTCAAAAATCGCTGTCAAAGTATCTATCAAGGTGTCTTTTTTCACAAATAAGATGATATTGGATTGATGAAGTTAATAGTCAAAATCTGTTTGAAAATGTGAGGCGATAACGTGAAAATGATGGTCAAGGAGGAACTTCTCTTTGTCAATTAGTAGTTTTAGTGGTTTAATTTTTCCGCAGTTGCTTCCACCAATTGATCATCAGTGATTTACAGCAGTCAAACAGAGCACAAAACAAAATACACCTGTATGTTCTGCTGAGATGACAGGGGCATTAAAAGAGGCCTTGATGATTAAGAACACTCTGGGACCAAGAGGACACTTTTGTTACAATCAAACTATGATGTCATCAAGATAATCAATATCTTTCATTAGCAAAATGCAAATCCAGCAGAAATGTATGCGAAGACTATGGTTTTATTCTTTCACATGTCATAACTGGGTCACACTCAAGCTTACTAGGGAGAGACAGAAGGACAACTGTTTTGAATACAAATCTTACCTGAAACTGTTACTCTTGTTATATTTTCTGTATCTGACTATCTAGGATGTCTCTTTGGCAGGCTGTCGTTTGATTAGGCAGTTCATCTTTAATATGCTCTAGAAGACATTCTCTATGAACAGTAGCTACAGTGTATACTTTTACAGTGAATGCTGATTACATAATAAACACTGTGAGATTAGTCGTAATAAATGCTTTTTAACAAATGTCCATACTTTGTACCAACAATGAAGAGCTGTCAGTGGACAGCAGAGAGGATACTGTAGGATCATGGAAGTATGAAGACATTTTAC